TCTTTTCTTTCTCCTTTCCTCTCCCCATTTCAAATTTCTTTCCTTTTTCTCCACTCAGAGCCAGGACAAAGACAAGTATTATTCCCACTATTTTTCTCTGGAGGATAGTTTACCTTCTAGTGAGTTATCCTTTAGAATTCTAGTTTTATGGAGGAGTCTCCAACCTGTCCTCATTTGTACTTTAGTCCCAGGTTTTGGCTCATCGATCGCACATATTAACCCAGATCTAGGCCATAAAAGTTTGGAATAAATTCTCAGAGCAAACACCAATTCGTGAAACTTTCTAACAATAGAATTATTTCCCACCAGCTCAGGCATTCATTCAAATGTAGGTTTTATATTTTATCTAGTATTTTTAATTATATTCTCCCCAAAGAATTTTCTATAAATGTTTAGTCTGCCATGTTGCTAGAAATAGCAGTAGCGATCATTATTAAAAATGATGCCATTATTAAAGACAGATGCCAATCTGTTGTTAAAAGTGTTTGCAATGCCTAATTATAAAGGTATTGCTTACCACAGAGGAAAATTTTAATCTGGGGCTAAAGGTAATAGTGCATAATTTTTATTATGCATTATATAAAATTGGTAAATACATAACTGATTTCCTTTTTTTACAACTTTTAAATTATTCAAGTATAAATTGTATTTTATTTTGGTAAACTCAATAGCTGACATCCCTTTTCTATTTCAACTATAAAATCACATATGGATTTTTAAGCGTCTTTACTGCAGTGGGTCTTGCTTTTTCCAGCTAGAAGACAATAAATGGCAGTGTTTATGAGTGCTGATAAGATTCTGAATTCCATTCTGTCCTCATTGTTCCTGCTGTGAAATGATTGCCTATTTTAAAACCACCCAAATAGAGACTGATTGCTATTATGGACAAAGAAGACTATTCATAGAAATAACCTTCCTCCTCTGCATTACGGGTAGCAATGGTGATGAAAAGCCATATACTATACTGTGAAAGTCAGTCTTGCAGTGCACCCCAGTCACGGGCACTGAACGTTTCACTCACTGGCTTGTTCATCATTTAACTACTTAACCTATCAGCCATTCAACTCTGTCTCCTTTTCCAGACATAGCTATTTGATGTTTCCAGGCAAAACACATCTTCTTTTGCTTGCTATTCATTAGTGTCCATCAAAATATACTTTTTTATATTAAAAAATAAGAATGTGCTGAGATGGAATGCCAGAAATAGGCCATTTTTCTTGGTAATGGACAACTAGCGTCAATGGGACCTTCCAGGGGTGAACACCATGTCTTTCAGAAGCTAAATGATTCATCTGATGAGATAATGAATTGGTTGCTTTTTTCAGGGAAGATTTGCAAAGAATTTCTTTTCCCTGGACAGACAACTTAGAAAATGTTGTGAAAGGATATAAAAAGAAAGGATAAAGAAAGCAAGCTAGTTTAATACAAATGGATTCCAGTCAGAACTGTGGACATGTAAGACTTGGATATCTTGAAAAATATCTCCTCCTGGGCTGACTTGTATTTGAGATAAATATTATTCCTGTGGCTAGAAAATTAGTTTTAGGCTTTATTTAGAATCTTATTGAAGCCTGGATGAAAAAAATCACAGAAGCGATTTTTATTTTATGAATTTACATCTTTATAATAATAACATAAACTTTACTCACCTTTTTGTGTTTTTATATAAATAGTTAAATAGACATAATATCTGAATTTGGCTTAAACATATATCTATACTCTTTTCTCCTTACAAAACAATATCTGAGACCCTTATCACAAGGGAACATTACAAAGGCTCTATGTTGAAGAGTTTTGGGTTGGGTTGGTGATATCTTAGTTCAGGCTGCTGTAACAAAGTATTAGGGATTGGGTGGTATGTAAACAACAGAAATTTATTTCTTACAGATCTGGGGGCTGGAAGTCCATGATCAGCTTGCCAGTATGTTATGTTTTGAAATCTCTTCCAGTTTCCAGGCTGGGACATGACTGCTTCTTGCCCCCTCAGACTCAAACTGAAACATTGGTTCTTTCTGGGTCTTAAGTCTGCCAGCCTTTGGACTGGAATTATACAGACAGTTCTGGTTCTTAGGCCTTCATATTCAGACTACACCATTGCCTCTCCTGGGCCTCTAGCTTTGCTGACTGAAGATATTGGGACTTCTCAGCCTCCACAATCGTGTGATCCAATTCTTTACAATAAATCTGTTATATATTTACAGATTTACTATATATACTATAGTATATATAGTACAGTATATATATGCTATTAGTTCTTTTCATACCCACCTCTGCCCATCTTCTGAATGTGACAGAAATTAAAGGTATAATCAATAATATCAAACTGTATTTCACACAGAGACAGCAAAATCCACAACATGCATTCTCAACACTTATTGATAAGCCTAGACACATAATCCTTATTCAATACAGGACTTAAGGCAGAAGATAATGTAAATGCACTCAGAGCAAGAAATCTACTTTAAAATTTTATTTATTAATAATCTAACTTCTTGCAAATTCAAAAAACTGAGGTGAGAAGCAGCCACTGGCAAGCATCTATTGCCTCCAATCAATCAAATCCTTAATGTTTTTCTAGAAAAAAGAAACTTTTTAAAACCTGGCTTGCTCAAGGTTGAAGTTGTTGATTTTTAATAACTGCAAATACCAAAATGGTCTTTACTCATTGAGAGTACTGTGAAATAACACTGCCAATTGGAAGTTATTTTATAATTGATATTTTCTAGTGATGTATAAAAACCCTGCTGTCTAGGATTCTAGATGTGGTACTATTAAGGCCTATGAAATCAAAATGGGAAGGCTTTGGTAAGTTGTACATGGTATTAAGACATTAGGATTCCCATAATATCAGTCAAAAGTGTCTCTGTGTGAAATACAGTTTGATATTATTGATTATACCTTTAATTTCTGTCACATTCAGAAGATGGGCAGAGGTGGGTATGAAAAAGGGTAGTGACCCTTTAAAGTCGCTCCTTCAATGCAGCTGTTTTTCACTCATTCCTGAGGAAGAGTGTGACCAGCCATGTAACAATAAAGTAAGAGTTTTAAGCTAATTTGGATTTACTCAGTTTGTCAATAATTCTCAAGCCATTTTGCTGCCTATATTGCAGAAAGAATAATCAATTATTCCAGAGAAAAATCAATTCACAGGTACAAGAGATTGAAATAGGGCCAGTGTGACTGGAGTAGAGGGATAGGAAGGTAGGGGATGAGGCATACCAGGCATGGTCTTAGAAGTCATGTCAAGGAGTTTTGTGTTTTTGAGATATGCTGATTGACCCACTTTCTGGGTAATTGAAAGTTTTCCATTTTCATATTTCAGAAGAGTACAATACTGGAAATGGATTTGGGTTAAGAGGAATGTATTCCTAAAATGTTAGCTATGGCTTCCACTTCAGTTCTTTGAAAACATACCTATCACCATTGGTTATTACAAAAAATTAAGTATACTAAAATGAATGGTAGAAAGAGAGATTGGTTCAGAAGGTTAAGCTGTTGATTAAAGTAAGTTTATTGATGAGAGGGAGGAAAAGGTTCCACTGAGGAATTTAAGTCCTGTGCAGTCCAGTCTTGGCTGAACTGACCCTATTACTTGTGGCAAACTAATTAACCTCCTTGTGCCTTGGCTGCTTATCTGTAGAGTGAAGATAATAATGACCCACTAAAAGAAGTGCAAATCATTCTATAAACACCAACAGTTATAAAAATAATATAAATAATTACTTAGCTCAGTTGTAAGATTTTAGTCTTTATCCCAGAGTTTAATCATCTCTCTGCCTAAATAGTATGTCAGGTTTAATTTTTGTCAAACAACTTTTTACGTGTATGCATGTGGTAGAGTGAGCTCGTGTTTAATTTCATATATAGTCAAATTTGTATTTATTGAAAATACAATTTCTGATGCCTGTTTTTCAGTCTGCAATACATTGGGTCCTAGTTTATCACTCTCTTATTGGCAGCACACAGTTCAACAAAGTGGAGGAGCTGCTGAGAAAGAAGTGGGGAGGGGAATTGGGGGGAGAAATAGATACTTCTAATTTCTTTTTAAATGACAGCTCTTCTTGTCTGTTAAATAAGAGGGTGCTTTTATTGTTTCATAAGCCTACTGCAATTATATTAACTATAATTAAGCAATTCAAATTGGTTCAGCAGGCACATAATAGCATGCCAAGAAGTGGCAAAATGAAGAGTCTCCTAGTTGTGTTTTATTGTGGATTCACTGAAATTGTCATCTCTTTTGTGATATTTCTAATAATTTTGTGGGAAGTGTTTATAAAACTGTATTCCTTCAGTGGCATAAAGATTACCTGTTTCTGTAATTATTCTTGGTTACCATGCCACACTTTCTTTAGCAGATGAAAGGAAATAATAATTAAACAATAAAATGCTTACAGAATTGGAATGACTGTTTCTTTGTGAACTCGGAGAAGAATCATATATTCTCTTCAATTCCTTCTTTTTAAAATTCATGCCTAGTAAATATGTAGGTGGTTTCCATGATGATTTTTTTTTAAGATTTTATTTATTTAATTGACACAGAGAGAGAGACACACACACAGCAAGAGCAGGAACACAAGCAGTGGGAGCGGAAGAGGGGGAAGCAGGCCTCCGGCCGAGCAGGGAGCCCAATGTGGGGCTCGATCCCAGGACCCTGGGATCATGACCTGAGCCGAAGGCAGTCGCTTAATCGACTGAGCCACCCAGGCGCCCCTCCATGATGATATTAATGACTCAGACGTGTGACTGCCATGTTTTTACTGGTGTGATTTGGCCTATAGCCAAATGGCTGCCTAGAGATCCTGATTAGTGGCCAGGACTAGCTAGTAAGGGACAGTGAACTGGACAGAAACAACCTCTAACTTCCAGCCAGTTCCTCTGTGTTATGTGACTACTGTTGTCTTGACCTTTGCTCAGCTAAAGCGGGGAATAGGCATTTGATTTCTTCAGTGCAGTCTGGGCAATATATCTAACATGTATTATGTGTATTACTGAATTCTCACCTGACTAGGACTTCTTTCCCAGTTTCCATTTGTTTCTCCTCTGGCATTGTTCCCTTTGATTCTGTTGGATTTTGATGGTCAGGGTTTGTGGTTGGATCTTTGAGCGAATTTTTCTCGGAGATTTTACCTATGGAAAGGGGAAAACATACAGACAGAAGAATATATGCCACTCTTGGTAAGCCATATTGGACAGCATAAATTACAGAGATCCTGTTTGTTTCTCCAAAATAGTCTTAAGAATGCCTCTCTTAGGATTCCTGCTAAACAAAGTAGGACCTTATGCAGGAGACGTTATCTTGTAGATACCTTCAGGCTGATAAAACATATACTTAGAGTTGGTGTATTATGCAACAAAAGGTTCATATAGTATATTCCTCTTTGAAACTAGCAAAGCTGAGATTAATAAGGAGTAATCATTCAAAAGGCATTTCAGTTCTGCTAAAGTATTATTCATAATTTGTGGCTGAAACTGAAGCCTCATAAAATTCAGAAAAATAAAACAGGCAGAAGTGATATCACTGACATTATTTTAGAATTTTGCTTTCTAGTTTTTTAGTGAAACCAAATTTTTGTTTTTGGTCCGATCATCTTTAGCTATGATATCTTTTCTGAATAAACAATGCAAACTAATATATGTTAGTTTCATTTTTCAGTCCAAAAATTAAAAATTTCCCTTCAAGCCTACAAATACAATTTCTAATTAATATAGTTTAAATTGTAGTGTACCAAGAGAATAATCAATTCACTGTAAATATTTGGATTGTGGAGAAGACTTTAATGAAAGTAAATGGCTTAATGTAAAAAGAAAACAAAGGAGCAAAGAAATAGAATGAACAAAATTTAGTGGTTATTCATTGTCCACAGTTTCTAATTTATTTTTAATTGGATGCACTGTGCTTAGGAAATTAGAATCAATGCTCAAATCGTAACTTTTATTTTTTTGTAATACATTATAATTGGAAAAACTTAAGCCAATCCAATATTGAAAATCTGGACTCACAAAAATGATAAATCATGGGGTGATCACTTTCACAAAAGTTTTTACCATATAAGTCTTTTAATATGAAAATTTCTATGATCCATCTAAAATCTTCCAATGTACAAAACTTTTCAGGAACATGTTTCAGGAATAAAGGGAATCATAAAATGAACTCACCACTTAAGTGTTTTCAAAAGTTTATGACTAAGAAGCTTAAACCTCTGGATTTCCGAAAACAAGTTTCTTCATTATGTATCTCCTACTTACATTTATTTTGGAATTATAGTAATTTAGGCTAGAAGATAGAAACCACAGTAGTATGTTTAAATGAGAAACCTTCAAATTCCTAACTTTGACTTTGGATAGAAAAGACCATTACTATAATCATATCCTTGGAGTCTGTGTCTAAAGACTATATTCCAGATGAAATGTTTCCCCGTATATGGAATCTTACTGAGAAGCCAGGATAGGGTCCTTTTTATACAAGCACATGTGGTATACTAGTGAGCTTATCAGTATTAAACAGATTTCAGAGTAAAAAAATTGCACTTTCAATATGTCATTTTGTACTCTAAGAGACTTTTGGTAGAAATAAGAGAGAAAGACCTATTTTCCCTATGTATTTGGGTCAAGCCATATTTTCCCATTTCTTTTTATCTAACCAAAAAAATAATTTTTCAGATCTCTAACATTATACTACATATTGCTGCCTAGGAAAGTGACAGCCAAATATTTTTCCTATCTACAAACACTGAGGTAATTACTGTAAGATCTTTTAGAGCAGAGTTCTTAACCTCTGACCACAGATGTCTAGTGTGCTCATGGACTGGAACTTTTGAGACTGTATGTTGTATGCATTTTTTACATGGAGAGGATTTAAGGTTAACATGAGCTCTTCAAAGAAGTCTGGGCCAAAAAAGTGTTATGAACCATTGTGTTCATATATTTTTCTAGGAGCACCTGCACTCCTGCCCCCAAATTAGTATTGAAATAGAACAAGAAATATGAGTAAAAGAATAATAGAATATCCCTTCTGAATATAAAAAAAGCAGAATCTGTAAAACAGAGTATTTCTTAAGAGGCCTTTATTGACCATTTCTTATAAAAGCATGTGAATATACGTTGCATCACATACTTCCATTACTCATTCAAGTTATAGCATATGCATTACATTTACAGTATTACTTTTCTGCTAGTACCATTTAAATTACTGACTATTCTGTAACAGTTCTTTTCTTCCCTTCTAATAAGGAATTTCTGTTTATCATCATAACATTTGGATTAAAGTAACTCTAATTAGATCCTTTTACCTTACTAGATCTTTTCTAGACATTACCAACCCCTTCTAAAATGACGCTGCCTCTACTATGGCAGGTCTAAGCTGTTTAGAAATTAATTCCAGCTTAATTTGCTTTGTGGATAAGCATTTTTATTACAAAATAAATCCTTAATCATAGCTCCTTGGTGAAGATGAGAAACCAGTTTTTGCCCATTCTTGGATTCAAAGCAGAACAACTTTAAACATACTCATGAGGACTTAAAACAAAAGGATCCCTGTCAACTCTAGTCAGTGTGGGTGTCTTTTTATCCATGCAGCATGTTATTTGTTTGTGTGAACAGATGGTCAGATTGTTTGCACCATTCTCATCACGAAAGAAACCTAAAATACACGGCAAATCTTGGGCTGGCATCTGGAGTGAAGTTTTGTCAACCTCACATTGTAGTTTTCCCCAGCCTCACACACGGAGAGCAGGATTCCCGCTTTTGTAGCTGCCCAAATGAATAGTGTACGTCTTTTCTGCGAACTGTGCTCTTTGCACATTGTGTAGCAATTGCCAGATCTCATCAGTACACTTAGTCAAATTCTGCCCTGGAATGTGAGCCCCTGGCAGATAGTAAAATCTGGAATCAAAGTGTTCTGATATGGTTGCTTTTACTGAATGTGCAAGAATGAGTACTGAATTTGCCCTCCACACACCTGGCTGATTCTGTATTTGGCCTGGCAGCATCTCACTCTGGGCCTCTGTAATACACTTTCAAACTGCTTGGGCCCCTTGTAGCAGCACATTGTAGAGACCTGTGCAGGTGTGAAACATCTGTTTCTGTCTTCAAGTGAGGAAATAAGTGATACAGAAAGCCATTAACCTTCCACATTTTATCAGTGGCACTAAATAATTGCTGGAAAAGGAGAAATCCAAAGAACCTAATTTGGGAATATGGCTGTGAATTAGACAGGTGTTGGTTCAGTTGATTTTTTTTTTGGATGGATATAAAAAGGGAAAGACTTTTAAATGCTTTCATTCGTTGGAATGTTTGATGTGGGTGATGATATCCCTTGGTTGAATTTCTAACTCTTTTTTTTTAAAGATTTTATTTATTTATTTGACAGAGAGAGACACAGTGAGAGAGGGAACACAGGCAAGGGGAGTGGGAGACGGAGAAGCAGGCTTTACACGGAACAGGGAGCCTGATGCGGGGCTTGATGCCAGGACTCTGCGATCATGACCTGAGCTGAAGGCAGACGCCTAATGACTGAGCCACCCAGGCACCCCTGAATTTCTAACTTAAAACACCAAATACATTGTGGGTTCTGTCTCAAAAACAAAACTCCTTTTATTACACACCAACGATATCTGAGTAATTAGATGTTAGGTGAATTAACAAAAACTAAGTCTGAGTACTTTGATTACATACATAAATGACACTATCATTTTCATCATAATGAATGAACGTTTGGAATAAAATGATAAATAACACAGTTTTAAGAAGAGTATAATTTATGATTATTCTCTGGCACTCAAGATGGTATTTTTGACTCAGCCTGTGTTTAATTTTGTAGTTACTAGAATATATAGTGTTCTTACAATAATTTTAATTATAACATTTTGATCATACTTGAAATTTTATGATATCTTTGTGGATTGTCAAATGACATGGAGAAAGCTGGCAAACATTATAGGGATGCATATAAAATGGAACCTGAAGGGGTGTCCTAAAATGTCACAGAATTTGAAAAATGTAATACTTTATATTACAAATGCTCATGTAATCTCTAAAAAACCCAGAGGAGAAGGAATCGGAGTAGGTGAGAGTTCTGGAAACCATCTCATAAGGAATGGTTAAGGAACTCAGGGTCTTTAGCTAAAGTACTGAAGACCAAATAGTGACATAGCAGTTATTTCAGATTCTTTGAAGGGCTGTTGCATAGAAGAGAAAAGACTTATTTCATATAGACCAGAAGGCAGAAGAAAGATCCATCAATGGGATTTACAAAACAGGCAAATAAAATCCAAACATTCTAACAACTAAACTTGTCTAGTAGCGAAACATATGGCTTGGTGAGGCAATGAAAGCCCTGTTGCTGGAGGTATGCAGGGAACGCTAGAGACTGCACTGAGGGAGGTAAGATGGGGTCCTCGCACTGGGTCAGAGGTTAGAAGTCCTCTACTCAGCCTTAAGGGGCCAGAAAGTCCTGAAGGGATTTTTATATTTAGGCAGTTTTCTTTTTATTTTAAGATACATCATCACAAATAAAGAAATGAATAAATCAACAAGTAAGAAATACAGATCCATCTAAGGTCGCTTTGGTACTGGGTCAGGATTAGGGATCCTGTCCTCTCTCAATGTCATGCTTTGTTTCAGGTACTTTTGTACTGGGATTAATTCATCTAGAAAATACATTTTATCTATAGGTATTAATGAGTGTGGTAAGTTACTGGTTCTGGGTACTAAGCACAGAACTCTAATCCTTATATCACTAATTCTCTGGGTAACTCTGGATAAGTTGCTTTTCTATAACAGTTTTTTCACCCATAAAATGAGAAATACTTTTGTCATGGGGATTTCTGTGAGGATTAGATAAAGACCTCATTCAAGAAAAATGAAATATAAACACAAAGTGTTCCGCCAGCCCGACTGGGGTAAATTATCTTTTTAAAAAATATATATATTAACTCTTTCAGAGCTGCACAGCATTGACATATATGAGGCATGCAGGAGCTGTTATTTACTTAAAAGTGTTTCAGGAATCAGGAAAGCAGAATGCAACTTCTTACAAATCAGGTATATTCTTTAGCAGAAAAAAGCCTAAAAATATAGTTTGATTTAATTGAATTATGCAGATATATTTAAATCATCCCAACTATAAAATATATGGCATTTTATCAGAAAAATAAAAAATAAAAATAAAACATCCTATTCATATTGGTTAGAGTCTCTTAAATTTTTAGTTTATAAATAAGTGGAAACCGAGGAAGTTTTCAGTTAAGAGTCTGGTCTTCTGTTTGATATTTAAAACAAAGAATAAAGTCTATGCCTAACTTCTCCTAGCTGATCAGCTCTCCTTACCTCTCCATCTTTAGCAAGCCATCTCTGTTCTGTATTATACATATACACAGTAACGGTTATTGATTGTGCACACAGATGGGCACCTGACCTAAAGAGGGCAGTCAGTCCACAGTTGGCTGTGATTTGGGTGGTGGTGTGATAGGCTCAGCCCAGTGGAATAATGGTTGCTATCTAAGTCAGACCATTCCCTTTGGAATTTAGAGTGGGAAAGGAGTAGACGGGAGTGAGAGCAGTCCAAAGTAGATATGCAAAGAGAAATGCAGTGGTCATGAGAAATGAAGCCATGTTGACTATGAGCAAGAGGCAGAGAAAGCAATTAGCTCCTAGGGCTGGCTCTGTTCCTTGAATGGTTTTCCAGTTCCAGTGGGTACATAGGTTTTCTTACCCTTGAGCCCTTGCCACTCAAGGCTCTGTCCCTTGCCAAATCATGTCTCTGTCCCTTGCCAAATCCGCATGGTTAGGAGCTGTCTTCATCATGTCAAATTATAAAGAACATCATATTTATCTTTTTTCTAGATTAAGTTTTCAGAAATTTCACATGCTGTGTTCATTCATTTCTCATTTCTTTTGTTCATCATCACATCAGGTATCATTTTGAAAGAATATTTCTTATTAAGCTTAATAACTGTAATTGTTGGGGCATCTGGGTGGCTCAGTTGGTTGGGCGACTGCCTTCGGCTCAGGTCATGATCTCAGGGTCCTGGGATCGAGCCCCACATTGGGCTCCCTGCTCAGCGGGAAGCCTGCTTCTCCCTTTCCTACTCCCCCTGCTTGTGTTCCCTCTCTCGCTGTCTCTCTCTGTGTCAAATAAATAAATAAAATCTTTTTTAAAAAAATAACTGTAATTGTTTACGACATAAGGGTTTTTTTCTCTTTTTTTCTTTTTGGATGAAGCAGAAAAATATGCTTGAGTAGTTTTGTTAAAAGCTTCATTCATTTTGTTGTTGTTGTTCCTATATTCCCACCTTATTCTTTGGTTGATGAATAGAATTGACAGTTACAGAAAGTGGACTATACTACTAAAATTAGCTATAGTAACTCTTGTGCACGACAATTGAACTGGTTGATCTTATATAGGGAAGCCTTTCTTGATTCTTAAAAATTAAATTTCTGTACATAGTTTGGCTATTTTCCTATTCCATACAAGGCAAAATAAATTTGTATAAGTTAATTGTTATTGCGAAGGACTAAAGAATGGTTTCTTGTTTAAACAAGCTAGGATTTTCCCTCCTTTTTTCTGCTATGTTTGAAAAGTTAATATATTTTATTTTTTAGAGTAGTTTTAAGTTCTAGAGCAGATTTTAGCTTTCCAGATTTCTGTCCAAACTGAGCTGGCTGAGATGCAGCCTAGGTCAGTTTGGAGAGTGGTGGGGAACTGGCAAGGCCTGGGACACCTCTACAGACCTGGAAATGTGTTAGACTTGGAACCTAGAGATCTTGGCTGTAGACAGCTATTTGGCACAGGGAGGCCCAGAGAGGACACCACACTTGCAGTGTGTTTGTAACACAAATTTGGGATGGAGGGCATGAGCGAAAGAAAGGGAAGAGTAAGAGGATAAATAAAAACACTGCAAGATTCGGAATCTTGTTTAGGGTTGTCACTGTTCATACATATGAATAACATCGAGTACCTACCATGTGGTTGGTTAGAGGTCACAACATGGTTATATGGGCTAAATTTGACAAGATTTCAGTTTTTTTTTTCAGTGATTTAAAAAGAGAATATTGAAACACTTAGAAAAGTCAACATTTAAAAATTGGGAGATTTCAAATTAAAATTTGTATTTGCCGTCTCTCTCGATGTCTGGCAGCACTTGCCTCTCATCCCCACATGGCAGTGATTGGTTGGCTAAGCAGCCTCTAGCCTCCTTAGACAGGGCATGCATGATCCTCATTTAGGCTATCTGACTTCTATCAACACTGGAATTTATCAACCTTGGTGCTAAATGTTTTACATATAGTAACTAATTTAATTTGTACTCACAACCTAGAAGATTTATGACAGTATTATCCTTATTTTATACATGAGCAAACTGAGACTCAGAGATGTCAACTCTCTTGACTATGGTCACTCAAAGCTATTAAGTGGTAGAGATATAATTTGAATTCAAGCGTGTCAAATTCTAAAACAAGTGCTTTTTCTAGTAAATATACTGCCAGTATACTGAATTTATGTTATTGATTGGAGCAAAACTCAATTTCTTATTTCTTTTTTGTTACTTTTTAAAGTACAGAGTATTTTCCTTAGGAAACAAACTGAGGGTTGCTGGAGTGGTGGGGGGTGGGAGGGATGGGGTGGCTGGGTGATAGACATTGGGGAAGGTATGTGCCATGGTGAGCGCTGTGAATTGTGTAAGACTGGTGAATCACAGACTTGTACCTCTGAAACAAATAATACATAATATGTTTAAAAAAAAAAAGATAGTAGGAAGGGAAAAATGAAGCAGGGGGAAACAAACCATGAGAGACTATGGACTCTGAGAAACAAACTGAGGGTTCTAGAGGGGAGGGGGGTGAGGGGATGGGTTAGCCTGGTGATGGGTATTAAAGAGGGCACGTACTGAATGGAGCACTGGGTGTTATGCACAAACAATGAGTCATGGAACACTACATCAAAAACTAATGATGTAATGTATGGTGACTAACATAACATAATAAAATAAAACTAAAAAAAATTAAGTAGAGTTTTTTGAAGCCATATAGATTAGTTTTCTGTTGCTGTAGCAAACAGGCTTAAAGGCTTAGAACAACACTGGGTTTATTGTTTTCCAACCTGTAGAGGCTGCCTGTGTTCCGTGGTTTGTGTCCCTTCCTCCATCTTCATATTGCATCATCCTATCTTCTTCTGCCTTTGACCTTCCTGCCTTCTTCCCTTAATTATATTGAGGCCTTCTGGATAATCTTCCCATCTCACAATCCTTAACTTAATAACATCAGCATTTCCCCCCACCTCATATAACAAATTCATAATTTTTAGGGATTAGGGTATGGATGTCTTTGAGGAGCCATTATTCAACCTAACATACCATACTAGCTATGGGCACCTAACTTTGATCCATTTCCATACTAAGTCACCTTAGTATGTATCATAAACTACTAAGGAAGTCATTTACATATCTTCTACTGGTACCAAAACATTTTTTAAAGAAGGATTTAATGTACTATAAGTGAAGTGGAAACCTAAGAAAGATGATTATAATCAAAAGAGGACTTTAGAAAGTTGTCTTTATTTGAATCCAAAATGTATTACGTTCTTCATTTCCATGGCAGATAAAAATTAAACCACGCTCTGCAGAAGATAAGAGTTCTATAATCAGAAATCAACATCTGCAGATATTGTGACATTGCACCTGCATGTTTTGAAGTGAAGAATATAAAAATACCAAGCACATATAAAAGGCTATCTTTAAACACTAATAATTTTGCTTTTTCAAAACAAAATATCTTAAATATAACTGTTATTCCTATTAAAGCCTTTGAAGACATGCTAAGTCTGCAGATTTAAATGAAACTATTTTTTTCCCTTTCCACTCAAAAAGCTTCTCTTTTAAATGAAGCTTCCACACGAGTTTTTATTACCAGCTATGAAAAATTAAGCTTATAAATACACTTCAAAAATAACAAGGATAAGAATAAACTTTCATCCCAAAGTGTGATCTTTGGTTTCAAACCATTAAGGTTGTATTTTTATGTGAGAAGAACTATTGATTTGAAACAATCACTATTATAAAATAACTCATAGTAAAACAGAATGGTAGCAGAACATACATGTGTATATTTCCAGTGGTTACTTAGAAAATACTACACGGTCTTAAAAAAGGAATTGGGTCTGCTATGGAATCACTAACAGAAGAATGAGTTATGGTAGCCCTAGGAGTAGATGAGATTTCTAATGAAGAGAGTTTAAAGGAAGAAGAGCAGAGGTCTGAGCATTGAAACTTTAAACATGTACAATCAACATCAGTTTTATTATTTTATAACCCTTATCTGAAATTATATTGTTCATTATATGCCTATGTTAACATAGACTTGGCCCAAATTGTTTGCTACTATAGCTCCAGTCCATAGACCGATGCCTGGCACATAGTAGATAATAAAAAACATCTATTGAGTAAGTGACTGAATGAAGAAATATATATTTTTGTAAACATTCAGATCTTTAAGGTATCTCAAGTATGATTTAGCCTAGGTGATCAACCTAGTCAAGGTAACATATTTTGGAGAGATATGCATTTTACTTTATAGATCTTTTTCCTATAGATTTGGGTTCTGACCTTGTATTTTGGTGTGTGACTCTTCAACGGGAGTCATCTTGGTTTGGAGAGATTTCTTTTCACTTTTGTTTTCTCCCTTTAAGAAACAAAATAAAGATTGTACATGATGAATTTACATAAAGTAAATTTAAATGTAAAATATAACACAGAGGTTTTCATTCAGTGAACAAGCCAATCATTAAAGTTTATCATTTGTTTATGGTATACTACAAATGATAATTCTTGTGCTTAAATGAATATTCTTGGCTCTACTATTGCATAATCAACCCTGACCTTCACAGCTTGCTGGCCTCAGGCACTCTTCTTCTCAGTGTGGTTGCTGCATCTCTCTGGCACATGTTCCTCCCAATTTCAGTCCTCACTCCCCACAGCCCTACTATTGGTCTTGGTCTATGTCTTTAGTAGTAGAACTTAAAGTGATGGAGAGAAGAAAGTGTCTAGTTTCTTAATTCAGAGCTCTCTTTTTTCTTCTCTTTGTGATTTCATTTGCCTCTACCTCATCATTTGAGCATCTAAGCTTTCCTTTGAAATGTATGTATGTCTCACTGGATGTGGCCAGTGTGTGTCTGAGGATGTTCCTATGGGGACAGAGTGAAATAAGATATAAGGTTAGAACATAGAAATGTTGGCTCCCAAGCTGTTTAAAGTCTAGTAGGGAAAAAAAAACACACAAAAATGTAAATGCAAGGAAATGTTATAGGTGATGAGACAATGTCTGTAGAGGCTAGAACAAGGCATAAAGGTGGAGGGGTCAATTCTACCAGAGTAGAAGGAAAGGGAGGAGACTATTACAAATCAAGATGATTTTTTTTTTTTGTTTTTTTTTTTTTGATGAACAGGGCATGGAAAATATTCCAGGCAGAGGATGCCTGCTCACCAAAAGTCCAAGGTGTGATTGTATACAGGAGGTTGGGGGAGACTAAAGTAGAAGTGGTTGAATGGGAAAAAGTGTGAGAAAATAAAGCTAGCTAAATAGGCAGGGACAAGGGCCTTGAAAGTCTCATAAGCCTTGATGTGGAGTTTGACATTATTTATAGGCACTGTATGTCAGGAACATTTTAAACTGGAAAATAAATTAATCAGATGATTTAATTTAAGCCTGACAGTAACCATATGTGTTAGGCAAGACAGCTATTATTATTCTTATGTTATTGAGTAGGAAATTGCTTAAGAGGCTAGAAAGATATGGATCCCTGGATATATTATGGAGTAGTGGTAAAGCCTTCTCACTTCAAGTACTTTTACATCATATTATGATGCTATTCATAAACATATTCATCACAGTCTTTTCATGTATACAAATGTAGATTTATGTGAATGGTGTCTTATTCTGTAGTATGAGAGTTTGGATTAGTCTGAGTTTGCAGATCTTGATTTATTGGTTATTGACAAATGGAAGTCACCTATGTTATTTTGGTTTAAGAACTAACTCTTTAAATGACACTTTAAAGGAACAATGTAAATTGATTTATTCATTCCTGAATATCTTCTTATAGGCCTCAAATCATCTATTTGTATTTCAGAAAATTGTTGTTAAAATGCCATTTTAAAAAGTTATATTCTGTGGATAAAAATGGTTTTAACTTTCTGTCATTTTTAATACTTTAGCATATTTGAAACTAGAGAATAACTCTATTTCCTCTACCAACGTGTTATTACATCAAAAGAGTAGATGCAAATAATTTCCCAAAATATGCCTTTTAAGATATAACATGATGCCAGTAGACTTCATGTTAACATCCATAAATTATGGGATAATTTATGTCATGGGATATACACAAGAGTTGTTCTACCTGTGTCTACTGTAGGTACTTCTTCAGTATTACTGTTTCTGAAGGAAAGACAACTCTGTAAGGAGTTTTTGTTCTTTTCACCTTCTCTTGAACATTCCTTTATCCTGTGAGTAGAGTATTTAGAAAGTTGATTCAACTAATATTCATTTGTTCTGAAGAAGTATAGCCTTGAGATTGAGCTCTCAGGTGCTGAAGTCAGATAGAACAGCGTTCCAATCCAAGCTTTGCCAGTTGTTAGTTGTATGTAAGCAGCAAATTATAACAGGACTCATGGTTACTCTGAAGATTTAATACAATAGTATTAAATTGGAAGAGGCTAGCACCTTGCCTGGCACATAGTAATTATTGTTAGCTATTATGTTCTCTGAGAGAATAATATATTAGTTATTTTTATGTGTTCTTTTGAAAAATAATCATGATAGGTAGGCGTTAAATATCATTGTAGTGACTTTCCCAGCAAGAAACACAAGACTAGCTGAAGGAAAATACTCAGTTCAACATTTGCGATATTCCATGAGTTTTTAAGCATATTAATAATTTTCAAAGCATGGGATTATTTATTTCAGGATAAGAATTAGAAAGAAGTCAAGGGCACTCTCATGAAGCAACGCTAAGCACATCCTCCATATCTGCTCTCCATTGCAGTCAATGTTAATCGGAAATGAAAGGCAAATTTTCCAGGGCCAATGCTAAGTAATCTTGGTGTTTTCTATACTCTAGGCTCATTTAAACCTGAATCATTAGACCATGCTATTTTAGTCCCTGAGGTACAGTCCTGCTTGTACTTGACATCTTTCATCCAATTCTTTTAGATGGGAAAATAATTATTGCTCTAAAAATCTTACGTAGCACTTTTAGGTAAATCTAGTCAGTAATTTGTGAAAATTATTCTATAGATAGTTGTAAGTGAGTATTGATCATATAATTATCACTTTGGACTTAAATCTGTCATATAAACACAAATTACTTATAATAGTAATAATAATAATAATAATTGCCATTTGGGAAGCCTCTACTATGCGCTTTAGATATACTGTCTCTAGTTTATACAACAAGGCTATGAAGCAGGTATTATCTTCATTATACAGATGAGTAGACCTAGAATTTATGAAAAATACTTATCTAGAGCAGGGTTCCTCCACTTCAGCAGTATTGAAATTTTGAACTGGATAATTTTATGTTGTGAAGGGCTGTCCTATACATTCTAGGATTTCTAGCATAATTTCTGGTCTTTACTCACTAGATGCAAGTAACATCTCTACCCCTGAGCTGTGAAAATCAAAAATAACTCCATACACTGCCAATTGTCCTGAGTGGCTAAAGTGTTCCCTTTTCAAGAACTCCTAGTCTAGAGCAATTACTGTTAAATTGTAGTTTACCACAGCCAGGATGCTTGACATTCTTTGTTGAAAACTAATTCATATAGCCCATTTAATATTTGAGAAATTATTTCATTTTGGATTATGTAGAAGTGTAAATCAGCAACAAGAAGCCCTACTTGGCTTTTCCAACTCCTTCTAAACATTTGTTAATCATTTTAAAGCAAATATATAAAAAATAAAGCAAATATATATAGTATGTATAAAATGATATGGATAAAACTCCAAAGACAAACAGCATGACCCAAATGGTAGCAAGTGAAACAACAAAGCAATCTTACATACTACAGTATATATTAAAACACTGGACAAAAATCCATCACTAGACAAAAATGATAATAATCAAGACTGATTTAGGAATGTAAGTACATACCTGTCTTGTGGACTGCCAAAGCTGATTGCTTGGATCAGGACCTTGTTTATTCTCATCATTCCCTTCTCTAGGCTTCACCTTGTTGGATTTTATTGTCAACAATTTAAACATTTTCTCTGAGGTGGTTCTGAAAACTTCTGTTTTTACGACTCTGTCTTAAGGTAGAGCAACGTACTTTGTTTTTCTTTTCATTAGTAGACAAGCCAATTAGTTGTTTAATCGGGATTTTGTTCTCGTTAATTCCTAGAGGCAACTCTGTAGCTAGTCAGGACTTTGGCTTAAAAGCAGCAAATTACTTCTGCTTGGGTGATTTGAATTCTGTTTATGAACTTTAAAGAGTCAAAATGCCCCTGAGAATAGTTTATAAGTGGAGGATTAAACAAAACTTCACTGTTAACTTGAATTGTTTAAATGTGATCACGTTGCCCATTGGTTTGTTTATTTATTTTTCTTTTCTAATTACCCACCTACCCATCTCCATCTATCTAATTTAATCAAAGTAACATGCAAATGATTAAAAAATAATATTAGCATAAGGGCTTATAATATAAGGAACAGGACTTATAAGGAAGAGTTCCCCCAGAGTTCCCATCTCTAGTCTCACACCGTGAGATAACTATTTTTTTCCTTTTTCTGTCCCTCTGGTCTTTTTTAAATAAGTATTTTATTAATTGATCAGATTAATGGAACTCTTAGAAACTATAGTGGAAAATGAGAAAATGAGGCTTTGCATTCCCAATAGCCTAAATGTTCATCTCAGATTCATAATGATGATTATATTAGAATTAAGGAAAGAGTATGTTAGTTTGCTAGGGCTGCCGTAGCACATTACCACAGACTGAGTGACTTAAACAACAGAAATTTATTTATCACAGTTTTGGAAGAATTATTAATGTCCTAGTTCAAAGTGTCAGTAAGGTTGGTTTCTTCTGAGGGTCATGAGGGAGGGAAGTATTCTAGGTCTCTTTGGCTTGTAGATGGCTATTATCTTCTCCCTGTGTCTTCACTTTGTCTTCACCCTGGTCATGTTTGTGTCCCAATTCCTTCTTCTTATAAGGATGCCAGTCATACTGGATTAAGGCCCACCTCAATGAGCTTTATAATTATAACTTAATTACCTCTTTAAAGACCCTAACTCAAAAGCAGTCACATTCTGAGGTTTTGGGGATTAGGACTTCAATATGAATTTTTGAGAAAATATAATTCAGCTTGTAACAGAAAATATATTTGATAAAAACATTTTAGATGATATGTATTTCATTGCTCAGAAGGAATTTGTTCTAAAACTTATTACAAGTTTATAATTTTCTTACAAATCACTGCAATATCATAAAAGCGACATAAGTGATTCCTAGTTTTATAAGCTTAGATAATTCCATTGGATTATTAATTTCATAAATTGTAAAAAAATGTATCTTACTGCACCATGGATTTTTTTCTGAACCAATAAAGTTAAATTTTTTGAAGGAGGAGACTTATTTTCTTCCCACAATATCTTTATATAGAATAGAAACTCAAGTCTTTGCTGAATAGAATTTTTAAATTTTTATTTAAATTCCAGTTAGTTAACATACAGTGTACTATTAGTGTCAGGTGCACGATATAATGATTCAACACCCATACAACACCCAGTCCTCATCACAACAAGTGCACTCCTTAATCCCCATCATCTACTTAACCCATCCCCCCACCCACCTCCCCTCTGGTACCCATCAGTTTGTTCTCGATACTTAAGAGTTTGTTTCTTGGTTTGCCTCTCTCTCTCTTTTTTTGTCCCTTTGTTCATTTGTTTTGTTTCTTAAATTCCACATAGGAGTGAAATTATATGGTATTTGTCTTTTGACTTATTTTGTTTAGCATAAGACTCTAGCTCCATCCATGTCATTGCAAATGGCAAGATTTCATCCTTTTTATGGCCAAGTAATATAATATTACATTGTGTGTGTGTGTGTGTGTGTGTGTGTGTGTGTGTGTGTGTGTGTGCCACATCTTCTTTATCCACTCATCAGTCAGTGGACACCTGCACTGTTTCCATTACTTGGCTATTGTAGATGCTGCTGCTATAAATATCAGGGTGCATGTATCACTTTGAATTAGAATTTTTGTGTTCTTTTTTTTTAAGATTTTATTTATTTATTTGAGAGAGAGAGAGCACAACAAGGGGGAGAGGCAGAAGGAGAGGGAGAAGCAGATTCCCCGCTGAGCAAGGAACCCAACACGGGGCTTGATCCCAGAACCCTGAGATCATGACCTGAGCCAAAGGCAGACACTTAACCGACTGGCGCCCCAGAATTTTTGTGTTCTTTGGGTAAATATCCAGTAGTGCAATTGAAATTTTTGACTCTTTGAGGAACCTCCATACTGTTTTCCAGAGTGGCTGCACCAGTTTACATTCCCACCAGCAGTGCAAGACAGTTCCCCTTTTTCTGCATCCTCACCAATACCTGTCTTTTCTCGTGTTGTTGATTTTAACCATTCTGACAAGTGTGATTTGACATCTCATTGTAGTTTTGATTTGCATTTCCCTGATGATGAGTGATGTTGAACATCTTTCCATGTGTCTGTTGGCCATCTGGATGTCTTCTTTGGAAAAATGTCTATTCATGTCTTCTGCTCATTTTTTAACTGGACTATTTATTTTTTGGGTGCTGAGTTTTATAAGTTCTCTCTATATTTTAGATATTAACCTTTTATCAGATATGTCATTTGTAGTATCTTCTCCCATTTCATAGGTTGCCTTTTAGTTTTGTTGGTTGTTTCCTTCACTGTGCAGAAGCTTTTTATTTTGATGCAGTCCCAATAGTTTATTTTTACTTTTATCTCCCTTACCTCAGGAGGCATATGTAGAAAAATGTTGATACGGCCAATGTCAAAGAAGTTATTGCCTGTGCTTGCTTCTAGGATTTTTATTGGTTTCAGGTCTCACATTTAGGTCTTTAATCCACTTTGAATTTATTTTTGTTTGGTTCGTTTTCATTCTTCTGCATGTTGCTGTCCAGTTTTCCCAGCACTATTTGTTCAAGAGACATTCTTTATCCCATTGGATATTCTTTCCTGCTTTGTGGAAGATTAATTGACCAAATAGTTGTGGGTTCATTTCTGAGTGTTCTGTTCTATTGATCTATGTGTCTATTTTTGTCCCAGGATCATACTGTTTTGATTACTGCAGCTTTGGAATATAACTTGAAGTCTGGAATTGTGATTCCTCCAGCTTTGTTTTTCTTTTTCGAGGTTGCTTTGACTATTAGGGATCTTTTATGGTTCCATATAAATTTTAGGATTGTTTGTTCTAGCTCTGTGCAAAATGCTGTTGGTATTTTGATAAGAATTGCATTAAATGTGTAGATTGCTTTAGGTAGTTTTTAACTATCTTCTTGATGATCAACATTTTGGTTATTTCCAGTTTTGAGCTAATTATGAATAAAGCTGCTCTAAACATTACCAAAGAAGTCTTTATGCAGACATAAGCATCCATTTCTCTTGGGTTTGTTTCTAAGAGTGGAAATGTTGAGCCACAGAGTAGATATGTGTTTAGCTACATTAGAAACTGACAAACAGTTTTCTAAAGTTGGTGTAATATTTACACTCCCATCAGTAATGTATGAGTGTCCATTGTTTCATAACAATTTTGGTGAGTAGGCAGTTATATTTCATTGTGCTCTCCATATGTGTTTATAGAATAAGTTACTGGTCCTCTATAATAATTATTAAGCTAGTCTTGGTGAAAATAATGTTAAAATAATTATCCTGATTTGTTATAACAACAATGTTAACAAGATTATCAACTAAGCAGTTTTGTGTGCATATGTGTGTATATGTAGATACATAACATAACCTATTTTTAGCATTCTTGATATAAGGTGCTCAATTTGTGCTAATATAAATTTTTAACCTATTATTTATAATTACCATTAAAAGTTCTATTGTTAGGGCACCTGGATGGCTCAGTCAGTTGAGTGTCAGACTCTTGGTTTCAGCTCAGGTCATGATATCAGGGCTTGAGATCAAGCCCCATGTCAGACTCTGTGCTCAGTGGGGAATCTGCTTGAGGAGTCTCTCCCTTGGCCCCTCCACCCACTCTCTCTTGAATAAATAAATAAATGTTTCTATTGTTAAACATTTTTAAAATTATAGATCACTATCATAAGCATATCATTTAATTAGGTATCAAAAGATTTTTATAGAAGGGGATACTAAAAAGGAGTCATGCTTATTTCCTTTTTTTTACACGTAAGTTGTGAGTTGCTAAAATCCATACACTTAGTAAGTGCTGGACTTTAATCTTCAATCCACATTCTCTAATTTCAAATATTTTATTTTCCCTGATAAGTCAACTATGCCTCTTTCTAATGACTCGTGTTGGTATTTCAATTTTATTCAAATAATAAATATATTAAATATCAAAATGTTAAGAAGAGAAAGTGAGCTCATTGTTATAGATTTCCATAATAATACACATAAGTTTCTTTCTGGGACACCACCTAAGGACAGAGGATTGGACTAGTTCACATTCATAAATACTTTAGATACAATTGTTCTGGAAAATTGGGAATGGGCATAACAAAAACTTTACATAAGTAAAATTACATAGCTGGTAGTACACTACAGAAAAAGAATGAGGTGGAGAATTTAGAAAATATGTTATGGATTAAATGTTATGAATTTAGAAAGTATGTTATGAATTAAATGCAGTAATTTAACTCAAGTAATATACATCTTCATAAGAAGATTCATTTAATAATTTATCATACAGATTTACTAGTAATGGTCAAATTTTTCTATATTTGTCTGACTATGTAGAGACAGTTTGCAACCAATTTTTAAAATTACATACAATTTTAAATGTAGGTAATTTTCACTGAATATTCAAATTAAAATAGAGTTAAAGTTAAAATACATTTGCAAATCTTAGGTATAATTAAGTAATTAATAGGGTGATTTTTAACCCTTCCCCATTAATACATTTATTTATTTAACAGGACATATTGGATGTCTATGTATTACAAAGCATTGCCAGGACTCAAAATGGATGAATTATATTCCCTGCATTTAGATACTTAACACTATTCATCTGCATGCCGGTATTCTCCACTAAGCTGTGAGACAGGAAG